AATCTGGGTACATCTTATACACTGAATACAGCATTTTTGGCCTCCCAAAACCCCGCCTCCTTCACCAAAATGACTGTGCATAGCCTTTAGGAGGCTGCTCCTGGGGGCTATGGAGGGCAAAAATAAGCGAAAAATGGGCTGGGTTTTTTGCTCATTTCCCCCCCCCCCCAGCAGCACTCTATAAGCTTCCTAAAGGCTATGCATGCAATTTTTTGACAAAAACAGGCTGTTTTTGCTTGTTTTTACTTATTTTTGCACCACCACCCCCAGCCCCTAGGAGCACTCCACAAGCCTTCTAAAGGCTATGCATGCCCTTTTTTGACAAAAAACGGGCTCGTTTTCACAAAAAATGGGCCTTTTTGGGGAGGTCTGCAGAGTGCAAATTTTTTTCTAATTTGCCTATTCATAATCTTAATACATCTTATACTCCAGTGCGTCTTATACTCCGAAAAATATGGTAAACACCCACTGGCTTGGTTCCCAATGAAAACAATGGTGCCAGGTCTCAAATTGCCTTAAAATTGTTTTAAGAAACAAAATACACCCTCTTTCTTTAGAAAGCCTCACCCAATACTAAAAGTCCTAGGTTCTCTTATGTATATTTGATAAGGTTCTACCCTCTTTTGCCTGGTTTCCTACTCAATGCAACTCACACACATTTTAGCCACCAAGTCCACATTCAGATAATTGTAAATTATAATTTACAACTCTACCAATTGGAGTTATATGACACACATGGTGATTTAACTAATGAGATATTCATATAAGGTGTGACCCATGTCCTCAGCTCAGATTAGTTTGGAACCACTTTTCCTCTAGTACAGTGGCAAAATGCTCCTTACAACCAAACTTTCTTTGTGACATTTGGTGTTTTTTTTTCTTTAAATGTGGAAGGAATATTTTGTGGATAACATTTAACTGCAAGGAGAACCTAAATGCCTCAATATTCCCCATGTAGTGTTTTCCTGAAATGTCAGGTATGATTTCCAGAATTTCAAGCCCAGTGTATGTAGTCCCAGGACATGTATAAGAAGAACACTGTATCAATCCTGACCCTGTTTATCAGTGGGTTGAGAGCTATAATGCCTCTGCTAGAGCAGGGATATTATCCTTAAGTGCAAGAAGTGAACTGTTTCTCTTATAAAAGGGTTATTTGGGAATTTTGACCTAGAATGTGAGGTCTTGGAAAAACTTTGTAAAGAAAACAAAATTAGGTTTCCTTTCAGTGGATCTTGACACCTGACACATCCATGTGGGTTTCTTGGCAACAGATTGCTATTATCCTCTTCTGATACAGTAGCTATGCTTGTGGTATTTGTTTGTTTGTTTTTTAAAAAAAACTTCATTTTGTTATGTTCTGGGATTTGTCCAACATTATTTACTTTCTGAGATCAGCCAGAAATATCAAAACTGTTTGGTCATATGTATTGATATTCAGGGTAATGATCGGTTTTGCCTTTAACTGAATTTAGTCTATTTCTAATCCCTATTCACATAGAAATTTTTAATTTCATTCAGAGGACACACAAGCTTTGATTTACAGTAATGAAACATGATTAGTTTGATGATTAGATATTCCTACCATTTCTTCTTTTCCTAGATGAGTGTGAAAAATCAGAAACTTCTGCTTTTCACTGAGATTAGCAACATTATCTGAACCCTGAACTGTGGCAACCTCTACTATATTTAGCTCATAACACTATATTTAACTCCACTATATTTGGCTCATATCTCAGTTTTATAAATTTATAAATTAAAATTGATTTCCTTCAGTCAGTGATAAGTAATCTATTTTAGAACTTTAGCAATGTAGTGGATCTAAAGCTCAAGCATTTTCTTCGAAACTCTATCTGTTAGTCATGCAAACAAGTAGGAGCATACCTTCGCCTTTTTAAGGTTCAGTATTGCCACAATACTAAGGCTGTGCAACATACTATGTCACTTTATTGATAAACTCATGTAGTATATTATCTGAATCTAGACCATGGATCCAGCTGTAGAGGCCCTAACTATAACCTGTAACCAAGTTTTCAATTAATGCATCTTAATCTAGGCTCATGTCAATTAGGCCAATTAATCTGTACTGACCTTTTCTTTTCTGGCCAAAAAGATTGGAACTAGAATAAATGTAAAATGTTGGGGTCCTTTTTCCTGATTAAGACCATATGCCAGATTTTACTTAATGCATTATGCAAATACATTATTGTGGCATGCTAAATATTATAGTTCTTAGCAGCCTGAGCCAGCATTTGCAATGGTGAAGGAAGATGAAAACTGTAGTTCAGCTATGTCTGTAGTACTACAGTTTACCTGTTCCTGCTTTTTGCAAAAGCAAAAGCATTGCAAATTGAGCACATAAGAGAAAATCCTGAGTTCTACCACCTTTTATAAAGCAGCATGCTCACTAGGTAGGGATTTCATATACACATGGGAAAAAAACCAGTTGGGATCCCTGTGTTTATTTGTGGCCACCTAGTAGATACCCAGATTTTTTATGGCATCCCCATCACAGTGTAGAGCCAGTTTGGTGCAGTGGTTAAGGCATCAGGATAGAAACTGTTCTAGTTTTGCTTTAGGCACGAAGCAAGCTGGGTGATCTTAGGAGAGTCACTTCATTTTATCCCCAAGAAGGATGCAATGACAAACCACTTCTGAAATCTTGCCAGGAAAACTTCAGGGATTTAGCCATTAAATCTCCAGAGGTCAGGAGTGACTCCAAGGCATACATTAATAATAAAATAAAATAATAAATAAAATAAAATGTAACATATTGATCGCAATACCTTAACACAGCTTGACCAAGAGGAAACATAGATGCTGATCCCAAGGTTTCTGATCTCTAGATCCTTAGTTCCATGCACCCTTTTTCTATCTTCATTGCTTCTTATTTGAGTAATTCAATTATACGCCCTCCATTAGATATGTGCCCCAGTGCAGTATACATAATTTAAAGTAACAAATAACCAACAGACATACACAGCAGAAAAGAAATTATTAAAACGTAGCCCTTGGGAGGCTATTCAGATAACCAGAACAATCAAAAACTGTTTCATAAAACCTGCTGGAGCAAGTCCTGAGTGATTGCCAAATAGAGCAAATCTCATAGGCCCTACATACGGTTTTCTTCCATGGTCTTCAAAACATTTAAAAATCAATTCCACTGACTTGCAAATGCATTTATCTTGCAGGCGCTGAAAAAACTAAAGGCTGTCTGCTTTAGATTAAGCTTGGGACCCTGCCTAATAGAAGCATGTACAGCGGCAGTCATATCTCATTTTCTCATGCACCTGCCATGGCAATGGGGATTTATGCTTGGGTAAGTTCCTCTTCCAACTCAAAAATTGTATTTTGTTTTTCTTTCCTTTTATGGGCCGAAACTGTCTTTCCTATTCCATGAAGTCATGGCTACAGTGCAGGTGTCACATCTGATTTAGTTTGATTATGCTGTAAAACATATGTTCTTGTCATACCGCAGAGGATTAGAGTAGAATTTGAAGCCCTGATCCATAAATAGATCTGGAATTTGCGAAGTTGCATATTTAGTGAGAGAGAAAACCTATGTTAAATCATCATTAATTCAAAGGAAAATTTTAATCCTGTTCAGAAGTCTTTAAAAACATCTCGCTATGATGTATATTTAGCAACAATTTCTTAATAACCATGACTGGATGGTTCACGTAACATGCGGAACAACAAACTAGTGTAGTGTAACCTTGAAGTGCTTAGATTAGAATCAGAAAGATTCAGCTTCTAGTTCATTCTCAGCCCCAAAAGCACTCTGGGTAGTCATCTTTCAACTCAATTTATCTCACAGAGCTATTTTTCTGTGAGAAAATAGAAGAATGGATTGTTATGTATAGCACTTTAAGGTCCTGGATGAAAAGTAGATTACAAATAATCAATAACTACTTTGGTTTACAAAATCCAATAGTTGGGCTCATACATTAAACCAGAATAAACAGTTATGATCTACAGTGCTATATTATGTCAATCCAAGGTGCTTCAAGGAATCAGCCTATATTCTTAACATAAAACATTTCTTACCTTCCATCTTGACTGTTGCAATAGTCTCTACATGGGGTGGCCTTGAAAACTATCTGAAAGTTTCATTTGGTTCAAAATGCAGGAGCCCATGTGGTTTTGTGCAGGCCTACACTTGCAGATGCGTCATTTCCCTTGCGGGAGCTGCATTGGCTACCGATTTGGTTCCAGATCCAAGTCCATATGCTAGTTGTCACCTTCAAAGACCTAAATGGCTTGGGATCAGGTTATTTTGCCAATCAGATATACTCAACCCATTAGAGCAGGGTGGCAGGGAATATTTCCTAAGGAGAGCCATCTGATGGCAGCAGGAAGGGCTTTCTCTGTGATGGCTCCCTTCCTGTGGAACATCCTTGCAGAGATAAGATTGGTCCCCACCTTGGCACTCTTTCCCAAGGCCCTGAACATATAGTTCTGCCAACTGGCCTGGGGATCCAGAATAGCATGGTTCGTTTAATTTTTGTCAGGAGGGTAGGGGTTCTTGCTGTTTGTATTGTTTATGTGTTGGGATTTTATCCTTGTAACCTGCCTGGAGTCACTGGAAGGTGAGTTGGGCAACCATATACACTTTCATAAATAAAATTAGTACTTTTATACTGTGTTTTTTCAACTCACAACACAGTTCTTCAGTTTTCTTTTCTCCTGTAAATTGCAATTCCTACTCTGATTGTGAAAAGTAACTACAAATTGATGTAACTAAAAGTTGATTTGTGTGTTCAGGTTTGTCTTAGGTGCTGTGTCTCCTGCAGTTGTAGTCCCCTCAATGTTGGTTTTACAAGCAGGGGGATATGGTGTTGACAAAGGTGTCCCAACTTTACTAATGGCTGCAGGAAGTTTTGATGACATTCTGGCTATCACAGGCTTCAACACCTGCTTAGGGATAGCATTCGCTTCAGGTACCTGTCTATTCTATTGATAAGTCACATCCAAGCCATCTGTCTTTTTTGTCATAATGCTAGTTTTTCCAAAACAAGCAATATCCTTTGTATATATATAAAAAAAACCTTTCATGCTGATTTTATGCCAAAATCTTTATTTGTCACACAATAAAATTCATAAAATGGGAAAATTGTACTTGTGGTCAGGATGAACCTGAGACCTTAGTGCACATTTCTTTACTATGTTCCACATATACTTCACTGCCTAGTAGAGATCAAGCTTTCAATGAAGAAATGGTTTGTATTACAAATTGCGTTACCAAGTTCTTATTGACAGCTATTGCCGTTGAAAGGCATAATGCAATAATTGTGAATCTATAATAAGCATGTTATAATACACCATGCCATTTTGGTAACACTCGAGGCCTCTGAATTGTCTAGAATAGAGTTTCCCAACCTTTGCGGCTTTGCGGACCGGTGTAGGGGGGAGAGAGAGGATGGTTCCACTCAAGTGGCGGACAAGCATGCACATGCACATAGCTCCACTTGCGCGAGTGGTGGGCATGCATGCCCGCCGCTTGTGCAAATGAAGAGCGTGTGCAGGCGCTCGCTCACTGCTCACATAAGGGGGATGCCAGCCATGCTTATAAATGTTAGCTGCGGGATTATCTAACAATCCATTTGAATCCTCTTTTTCTGCTTTGCCAAAACAGGCTCCACCCTTGCAAATGTCTTTCGAGGTATATTAGAAGTTGCAGTGGGTATAGCAGCTGGTGGACTTTTGGGAATTTTTATTCGTTACTTTCCAAGCAAGGATCAGGTAAGAAGAGAAAATGTAGCAGTACTTTTGAAATGTAGCAGTCTGCTGTCTGTTGAAGCATGAGAAGGAACAACACATTTAAAACCAACTCCCTGTCACACTTTAGCTGGAATAATAGGTATAATAATAACGTATCTGGCAGAGTTGCAAATGCTTTGGTCAGAAGAGTGCTTTGGACCTTGTGCAAATAACAGCACAACATCACTTCACTATTCATTGAAGTTGTTGATCTTTGTTCAAACGTTTGAAGAAAATCACACTACAGAGTTAACTCTTTAAAACAGTGGTATCTTTTTACAGATTCAGACACCTGGAAAAAATTGGGCTGCTTCAATAAATAGAAGAGAGGTGTTATAGAGGTAGGTCCTCAACTTGCAACCATTCGTTTAGTGATTGTTCAAAGCTACAATGGCTCTATAGTGACTTATGACCAGTTTTCAAACTTACAGCTGTTGCAGCATTTCCATGGTCACACAATCAAACTTTGGATGTTTGGCAACTGGCATGGATTTACGATGGTTGCAGCATCCCAAGATTCTGGGATTGTCATTTGCCCTTCTTAGGAAGCTTCTGACAAGCCAAGTCAATGCGGGAAAACAGAATCACTTAAAATCTGCCTGATTTTAACACTTAACAACTAGGGGCAAAAAGGCCATGGGTCACAACTCATTAACTGTCTTGCTTTTGGGGCAATTTTGGACTCAATTATGGTTGTACGTTGAGGGCTACCTGTATTTGTATGAGTTTCAAATTAGTTTTTCCAATTTCTTTTTGAAGCAAGTACAACAGATTTCTAGTATATTAATTTTAAAGAAAAAGTAAAGATTGCTTGAACTGAACTGAGGACCTATACAGTTTCGTTGCAGCATTCTGAAAGTAATTTGCTGTTGTTTTAATTCAACAATTTTTTTTCAACCACTTCCCTATCCAGAGGTAACCCTACTTAACTTTATATATTAGACAAGGTCTACAAAATTTCCCAAGTATTACATGACCATACAATTCCAAAAGATTGTATTCTTTTCAAAGTTTCTTGTCAAGTTTGGATTGACATTTATGAATCATGTCTCTTGCTTTCTCCAATTTCTTTCCCTAGACATATCTTGTATGGAAGAGAGCATTCTTTATTATAGGCTTATCAGTGTTTGCAATTTTTAGCAGTATGTATTTTGAGTTCCCTGGATCTGGAGGACTGTGCACAATTGTCTTGGCATTTCTGGCTGGTTTATCATGGTCTGATGAAAAAGTGAGTATTTAATTATCATGTAACCAAAAAGTCACCTTGATTCCATAATATGAGAGTTTATAAAATATTCTGGGCAAGTTGAAAGTGTAAAAAATACTTCAACTTTGGTTCCATATTTTAGTCATTTCTTTGTGAGCTATTTTGAAGTTCCCTGTCCTATGATTTATGGGTATTTAAAAACAAATTCTACAGATTTGAGGGTTTCTTTGACTCTGCCATCTTCTTCCTTTAAATGTATCCTCCTGACATAAGCAGTGATGTTCAGTTTTTGATTTTAAAAAAAAGAGGAAATGGTGCTAATATTGCATCACAGTATACAGTGATTCTTAACTTAGTAGATTATTTTTTATCCCCATTCAACCAAAGCAAATGTTTTGGAAAAAAATTATGAAGCTAGTGTATGTCTCTACTGAATACCTTGTTTCCCTGAAAATAAGACCTCCCGGATAATAAGCCTAATCGGGCTAAAATAAGCCCTCCCCCGAAAATAAGCTCTTCCTGAAAACATTGCAACACAGCAGCAACCATGAAGTGACCACACTTGCTGCCTCCTGCACCTCAAAATTAATAAGACCTCCCCAAAAATAAGGCCAAGTGTTTTTTTTGGGAGGATCAAAAGATAATAAGACCCTTTCTTATTTTCAGGGAAACGTGTTATTATGTACTATGAATAAAAGTGAACGGGATTAGGTGAGAAAAGGATGGGAAAAAACTACCATCTTTTTACTTCTATAGTATGCTATAGAAATAACTAAAAGATGGTATTGCCTTAAATTGTGTTTGTGGTGAGGGTATTCCCCCTAAAAGGAGGAATATTTATAATTTCAAAGCTCCTATTAAATTATTAGAAGAGTCCTTAATATCTTAATATTTGAAAGATGCGATGTCATCTTTATTATGATAGAATCACTCTTCCTAAGATGAGAGCAAGAACACGGCACATTTGATTGGATCACTTAATTTTTTGAAAATCTTATTTAATAATATGAAAATAATTAAGTATGTGTTATATATGTTCTGCATGAATGTACAGTACTGTGCAACAAAATGCATTGCTTTTTTTACAGAAAGAGGTAGAAAAAATTATTAAGGTTGCATGGGAGATTTTCCAACCTTTTCTTTTTGGTTTGATTGGCGCTGAAATATCTGTCGCATCTCTTGATCCTCAAACAGTTGGTAAGTCTTCCACTAACAAGTTGGCATTTATGCATATTGTCTTTGGAGGGGTTCGTTATCAGAAGGAAAATTATGCCATTTAGGTGTTGAAGGGATTCTTTTCTTAATACCAGAAATAATCAAATCTATTTCTTTGTTGCAGGATTTTGCATTGCCATACTGGCTGTTGGATTGATAGCCCGAGTTACAGCAACGTTTGTATTGGTCTTTTGTGCTGGTTTTGAGCTGAAAGAGAGAATATTTATTGCATTGGCTTGGATTCCCAAAGCTACTGTGCAGGTATACTGTATTTTTATGGCAGATTTCTGTCTTCTGGAAATAAAATTATTTGAATACACCGATCCTCCCAAGAAGTTAGTAAGACCACACCTAGAGTACTGCATCTTGTTTTGGTCACCACACTATAAAAAAGATGTGGAGACTCTAGAAAGAGTGCAGAGAAGATCAACCAAGATGATTAGGGGACTGGAGGCCAAAACATACGATGAACAGTTACAAGAACTGGGCATGGCTAGTCTAGTGAAGAGAAGGGTCAAGGGAGACATGATAGCAGTCTATCAATATTTGAGGGGCTGCCACAGAGAGGAAAGCGGTCAAGCTATTTTCCAAGGCACCTGAAGGCCAGACAAAGAATAATGGATGGAAACTGATCAAGATTCAACCTGGAAATAAGGAGAAATTTTCTGACAATGGAACAGAAGTTGCCTTCAGAAGTTGTGGGAGTTTCATCACTAGAAACTTTCAAGAAGAGACTGGACTTCCATCTGTCAGAAATGGTGTAGGGTCTCCTGCTTGGATGGGAGGTTGGACTAGATGACCTACAAGGTCCTTCCAATTCTCTTAATCTGTTAAAAAGTTGAATGGAACAGAATGGAATTGGGTTAAGTTGAATACTTTATTTGGCCAAGTGTGATTAGCCACACAAGGAAGCTTTTCCCAGTATGGAAGCATTCAGTGTACATGCAAATACAGGTAGTCCTCGACTTACAACCTAAGACCAAAATTTTTGTAGCTAAGTGAAACATTTGTCAAGGGAGTGTTGCCCCATTTTATGACTTTTCTTACCACATTTGTTAAGTGAATCACTGTAATTGTTATTAATATGGTTGTTAAGTGAATCAGGCTTCTCCATTGACTTTGCTTGTCAGAAGGCTGCAGAAGGTGATCACATGACCCTGGGACACTGCAACTGTCATAAATATGAGTCAGTTGCCAAGCATCCAAATGTAAATCGTGTGATTATGGAGATACTGCAACAGTCATAAGTGTGAAAAATGATCATTAAGTCACTTTTTGCAGTGCTGTTGTAACTTCAAATGGTCCCTGAACAAACTGTTGTAAGTTGTGGACTATCTGGAAACATCATGATCATTATACCAATAATAGGGGGGAAGTAAAGAAGATAATAAGGATTAATAATAGTACAGCCACACCACTTTGTTGTCCAATAAAAGCTCCCCATCCTTTATCCAGAGCTATGAAATGAGTAATGTTGTTACAAGCATTTTATCTTTTATTTCAATGCAAACCAAATCATTCGTAGTCAGAATTTGCAATCCCATTTTCAAATTTCCCCTTAGGAACACAGTTTTCGATAGTACTAATGCAACAGTTATACTACAGCATCATAAACATCTCCCTAAATGTAGTGAGATGATCCACCTAGATTAGAAAAGTGTATGAAACCCTAGCACTGTTGAGATGATCACAAGGCTAGATCTTCCGTGGTGGCACAGTGGTTGGAATGCAGTACTGCAGCCTACTTCTCCTTCAGTTTGATTCTCACCAGCTCAAGGTTGACTCAGCCTTCCATCCTTCTGAGGTCGGTAAAATGAGGACCCAGATTGTTGGGGCCAATGTGATCCTGTATACCGCTTAGAGAGGGCTGTAAAGCACTGTGAAGCAGTGCTGTTGCTATTGCTATTTAGATATAAGATTTTCTAGAAGCAATAAGAGACTATTTGTCTAATATTGTAACTCTAGCCAAGTTCAAGACTGACTTTGGATTATGAACTTCATCATCATCAACCTAAGGTATAGGATCTTTGTAACTCTAGGATGTTTTCAGGGTTGTCAGTATGAATGTTAAGTCACTGCAAACAAATTTTGCTTGTGTGTATAAGTGAGAGAAAGAGAGTAGGCTGACAAGAAAGAAACTAGCCTTCACACTTATCCTCTACTATTTCTTGGCATCTCAAAATTACCATTCTCTATCTTAACCTGAGGCAGGAAAGTCCAATCCAGTTGAACTTCAAAAATATGAACAGTGGTTAATAAGGCCCTTAGTAAGGCTCTTAAAGAAACATATTCTAAACCATTACTTTACTATAAATATAATCCTAGATTTGCTACTATACTCATCAAATATAGCACTCAAATTCTTACTCACTACAGTAAATCAAAATTTGAAAATATTATATGAAGGAAGAGCTAATCCCAACCAAAACAGTAACTTACAATGTAGTCCTCTTCCAAAGCAACAGTAAATAACAGAATAACAGTTGGAAGGGACCTTGGAGATCTTCCAGTCAAACCCCCTGAACAATCAGGAGACCCTACACCATTCCAGACGATGGAGCAACCACAATTTCTGAAGGCAAACCGTTCCACTGGTTAATTGTTCTCACTGTTAGGAAATTTCTCCTTAGTTCTAGGTTGTTTCTCTCCTTGATTGTTTCTTGTCTTGTTTTCTAATGCTTTCAATTTCAAATTTAATGAATTTATATGCCGCCCAATCCCGAAGGACTCCGGGCGGCTTTGAAAAATAGGTTGAACCTCTCTTCATTGTGGCAGCCCCTCAATTATTGCAACACTGCTATCATGTCACCGCTAGTCCTTCTTTTCACCACAGTAGACAAACCCAATTCCGATCTTCATATATTTTAGCTTCCAGCCCTCTAAATAGCTTTGTTGCTCTTTTCTACACTTTTTCCAGAATCTCTACAACTTTTTTATAATATGGTACCAAAACTGGATGCAGTATTCTAAATGTGGTCTGACTAAGGCTTTATAAAGTGGTACTAATATTTCACGTGATCTTAATTTTATCCCTCTGTTAATGCAATTGCGATTGTGTTGGCTTTTTTGACTGCTGTTGCACACTGCTGGCTCATATTTAAGTGACTGTTGACTTAAATCTAGGACTGCAAGTTCCCTCTCACAGTCACTGCTATTGAGCCAAGTTTCACCTAATCTGTACCTGTTAAAATTGATTTTTCTTGCCTAAGTGTAAATACTTTGAATTTCATGTAGAGAATCACTTAAAATAAGTCACAAAATTCATTTGATTAGATGGACACCAATTTAGATGCTTTTGAAAGGAGCAATGCATATTCAATGAGAACTGGTCTCTTAATGGTTGTAGTCTTAATATCTAGGTGCTATCAACAGCTGCTGGGGAACAACAGCAGGAAGGGCTTCTTATCTATTTAGCTTTTTTGGCTCCAGTGCCAAAAGCAGGGGGAGCGCAGGGGGGTCATGCACGATTTTTTCACCCTCCCCAGGCTCTAGAGGCTTTCTAGGAGCCTGGGGAGGGCGAAAACAGCCTCCCCCCCCCGACACCCTCTGGAGCCCTCAGGAGCTTCCCTGAAGCCTCCGGAGGGTGAACAGCAGACCTATGGGAAGTTCGGGAATGGTGACTTCCGGTTTGTCTATAGGACCATTTTTTGCCTTCAAGGAAGCCTCCGGTGGTTGAAAAATGGCCTCAAAAAAAGGCCAAAATCAGCTGGCCAGTGCACACATGTGTGCTGGCCAGCTAACAGGGCAACACCTTGCGTTCCCTGACAAATGGCTCCGCGTGCCACCTGTGACACGTGTGCCATAGGTTCGCCATCACAGTATACAGTGTTTGATGAAACAAGCTTTTGTGCTGTATTTTTTAAATGTTTTTGCTGTGTTATCTATTATTCCTTTTCTCTCGACAGGCTGCAATTGGCTCAGTTGCCTTAGATACAGCACGGGAGCAGGGAAATGAACAATCACAGAAATATGGAATGGATATTTTGACAGTTGCTTTCCTGGCAATCTTAATCACAGCTCCAATTGGAGCTCTAATAATTGGACTGGCAGGGCCCCTACTTCTCCACAAAACTTCTGATACCAACAGAGAAAGTCATATATATGAAGAAAGAGAAGAAATAGAAATACATGGGCCAGCATAGGGAGAGATGACGTGCAGCCCACAGATCACCTGAATTGAGACTGCTTATGAATCATGTAACATACCACAAGTAACATACAGAAGTTTAAAGGCCTATGAGATACACTGTAGATCTTCCAGATATATGTTCCTATTTTTAAGATGACATCGGTTGGAGCTGTTTAGAGCCCATGTTAGCTATTAGTGGCTGGTAGCTTTTCTTTTAGTGGTTAACAGTTTATTAGGTGAAAAGATTAGTGGCTGCTGAATTAGAGTATATTTAAAGTACTGAATAATAAATGAAGCTGTTGAGGATTAACAGAAACCTTTTAGATGCACTTCCTGGGTGAGAACTAGGGATTCTGATAAAGACTTCTACTCCTTCCTATTGTGGTGGGAAAATAGTTAGGACTGAGATATAACCTGAAATTTTCTCTGAAAGACTCTGGTAGCCTGAAGTCTTCTCTGAGGGATAGGTTGGGAAGAGTGAATTAGTATAGTTAAAGTAGATTTTATACAAATAGTTTTGTAGAGAATTGGAGTGTTAGATGTGTAAAGAGCGGATGACAGGCTAGAAGTGTCCTTAAGAGATAACTTATGTTTGTGGTATGCAGGTTGAATGAGATAATGGCCAGATCAATAGAGGAAAAGAATGTTGTGATGGGGACCCACTGTGGATTATGACAGGTAGAGATAGGTATTGCAGGAAGCACCAGCTTGACTACTACAGGAAAAGGGAGACCCATATATTTGTATGGATCTCTTCTAAACCAGAGATTCCAGATCAGGTGGATGAACCGCTGGGCATACTGGCCTCCAGTTACTACTTGGTACAAAATAAGACCACGTTCATTTTACAACATCTGGTAGATGAATGTGGTGATTTGATGTAAGTTACTGAAACATGAATGGGGGAAAATGAGGATGTAGCCCTGTTGCAAATTTGCCCTGCCAGTTATGCAACAGCTATAGCATCTTGAGGTTGAGAAGAAGGGGTTGCTATGATGTACAAGACCCTTTTGCAGTGATGAAGAGGCTGTTATGACTGGAAAAGAATGTCTTAAAGGGTATTATAGAGAGCCCTCCATGAATATCTGGATGTCATCTTAGAGATAATGTTGGGCCATCCCAAGATTGAATGTTTGAGAAGACTTTAATCTTTATTCCCTGGAAAAGAGGCTCAGTGTGTTCCATGAATTTAGGGTAACTTTGGGCCTGCCAGATATAATCTGTGTCAATAGACTACAGCAAACACCTATTATACTTGGAGCGAATAAGACAAAACTGGAAATGGAGGACAATGATACCTATCATCTGCTATGATCAGTTTACTTCCTCTTCAGATTCATAGACAACCAAGGATTCCATATGAATACTGAATTTTTTCAACTGATATTCTTCAGGACCTGGATGAATTCAAGTGGATTTCAGAGGACAACCTGGCGGATTATTCTGTTTTGTGTCTGTCTGATTTATGGATCCAACTGTTTCTGACAACTGGGGGGAGGGTACTAATATTTTATATGTTCCTTTTTATGTCCTGCACTGTTTTACATTGCCCAGAATATACATATTGAGATAGGCTATACAAATTTAAAATAATTAATATAAAATATGATTTTATTGAATCAATATCCAAATGTGCCTTAATCCATCCCCCACCATGCAGTCTCAACTGTCAGTACCTATCCTTCCATCACAACTGATGAAGTTTCTTGGGTGAGAAAGGAAACATTTTGTTGTTCTTCAAAGAAAAAGAAAAAAAAGTCCAGTTGCCTTTTGAAAAAGCACCTTTGAGACCTAAATGACTGAGAATCTCCACATTTATCTTTTCATATATTTCTATTATATAGCTCATCTTTTCTCAAGGTTAAGCTTCTTCACAGGGTGCATGCTCTACTCCCCTTCTCTGAACTGGCTTTTACTTCTCAAAATTACTATGCTGCACAGGCTTGGATAGAATATTATAATAGTACAGATGAGAACTGACCAAAGTGCAGTGAAATAAAACAATACTTTCTATGTTTTGAGAAATACACTAGGGTATTGATCCAGTTCTTTGACTCCAAGATTTTTTTCACAAGTAGTTATTAAGCATCAATCTACGTATTGTGTTTCCAAAATAAACATCTTTGTACTTGTCTCTCTTAATTTGTATGGTGTAACTTCCCCCCCATTTCACCAACCTGTCAAGATAATTTTGGATTTTGTTTTCTAGAGACCTGTCTCAACTTCAGAGACTTTTAAGATGTGCGAACTTCAGATATGTGGCAGCTGCAAGCCCATGCACTTAAAAGTCCCTAAGATTGAGAAACACTGTCAGCATGCACCACCCCACCACTTCATTTTATATCATCCAGAAATCAAAACGCACCCCTCCCATTCTCCAAATAATTCATGAAGGAAGGGGAGAGGACCTAGGACTGCTGGGGCCCATTTGATACTTTTCGATCTGCAAATCACCGATAAGCCCCTTCTGAGTACAATGTTTGAAGTGACTGCAATATTCACTTATTGATACAGGTACAAAGTTGGAAGGGACCTTGTAGGTCATCTAGTCCAACCCCCTGCCCAAGCATACCCTACACCATTTTTGACAGATGGTCGTCTAGTCTCTTCTTGAAAGCCTCCAGTGATGAAGCTCCCACAACTTCCAAAGGCACGCTGTTCCATTGGTTGATTGCTCTTGCTGTCAGAAAATTCCTCCTTATTTCCAGGTTGAATCTTTCCTTGTTCGGTTTGCATCCATTATTCCTTGTGTGGCCTTCAGGTGCTTTGGAAAATAGCTTGACCCCTTCCTCTCTTGTGGCAGCCGCTCAAATATTGTGCCTCTATCATTGTCACTCCTGGTCCTTGTCTTCACTAGACTAGCCATGTTCAGTTCCTGCAACTGTTATTCATACGTTTTAGCCCCCATTTCCGTAATCATCCTGGTTGCTCTCCTCTGCACTCTTTCTAGAGGTCCAACTGTCTTTTTTATAGTGGTGACCAAAACTGGATGCAGTACTCTAGGTGTGGTCTTACTAAGGCTTTAGAGGGAAGTATTAGTACCTCCCTTGATCTTGATTGCATCCCACTGTTAATGCAATTTAGGACTGCATTGGCTTTTTTGGCTGTTCCCAAGTTATATTTAATGTATTTTACTTACATTTCTCTCTCCCTTGTACCTGTATCCTTGCAACTATTTCAGCCCTCTGGGTCCCCAGAGGGGGGCGGGTGAGCTCAGGATCTCCTCCAAGGATTTCCTTGCGCGGAAATACAGAGAAAAGCAAAGCGGGGCAATTCTTCCTGCAGGGCAATTACGGACCCTCCCTCCCCTCCCTTCCCCTCACCCTCGCTGAGCAACGCAGCAGCGCCGTTGAACCAGATGCCCTTCGGCGGCTGGCAGGCAGGCACGACCGTTATTTCAGAACCGTTATTTTCTCTCACATTCTCTCTGGTTTGGAGAGCGGCGGCCCGGGAAGTGGAGCTTGTACTCCTCGGCCGTCCCTGCGCCCTCGCACCTTTCCCCGGCTGCGGACCAGCCTTAACGAGTGGCTTCCTTCAGTTTAACCGCGGTTTTCTGCCCTATAGTGGCTCGTGGACGTTGAACGGGTCAGTGGCGCTATCCTCGCCTTTGGTAACCGACACTCCGAGAGGCAGAGCCCTGGAGGGGGGTTTAGAAGCCAATTTCAAAGGTTCAAAAATCGCGCGCCATGGTTCAGGATACTATAAAGGCTAATTTGGAGTAACGTGCGAAGCCCAGGCCAAACGAGCCCCGAGGCTGTTTAGCGAGATGAGTTCAAATCCAGTCCACCACAGGCTATTTCTGAAGAGGAGCCTATAGTCTTGTGAACGCCCCGATGAGAATACAGCCAGCTTGTTTTTCTGAGAAGTATAAATCCTCCCCCACCCCAGATTTCCTTCCCCCAAATCCACAGATCTATGTTGCTATGGAGATTCTTAGCCATCAAGGACATGGGTGTCCCAAAAGCGCTTTTCCAAAAGGCCACTGAACTTTCTTGGTTGTTGTCTTGAAAACTTTTAACTTCTCATCCAAGAACTGAAGAAGCTTCCTGGATGGAAAAACAAACCATTTTCAAAGCAAAAAACAACAAAGGAATCCCAGTTGCCTTTTGGAAAAGCATCTTTGCACCCACGGATCTAGGCTTTATTTCACCATAATCCCCAGCCAGAGCTCTAAAATATAGGAGTCTGTCTTAAACCAGGAATAAATTGAGGGCAGATGTCATTTTAGGAGTGGCAGCTTCTCTATCCCCAAAAATGTGAATACCAAACTGAGGGTGAAGTCAGGAGGAGTTAATTCCAATTTGTGTGAGTATCATCCTCTGCTCCCAATCATAAGCATGTTAACTCTACTGGGAATAAGATGAAATATGTAAGTATGATTATTTTATTTCAATGGGATTTCTGTTCCAAGATAATGAGCATAGGTATTCACCCAGACAATGCAGTCCTATTATTCATCTTTCAGAAGAAATGTGCCCTCAGTTTATTGAGGCTATTCTCAAGGAAATATATTTAGGAATGTTAATTGTGGCGGAGGTGTTACTATATAACCTTTTTATTTTTAAAAAAATAGCAAAGAATGTGTACTAAATCAGATAATTACTCTTGATGTCCAGAATTTCTTGCCTTGTCTGCTCTAATAGCTTGAATATTGCATAAAAATAGAATTTCCCCATTTATTAAAAGAGTGATTCAGTTTTGGTGGTTCATATTAAAATTGTGTGCAAAAAGTTAAGCAAAACCAAGTTATTTTGCAACTCATTTGTAGCACTACATGAACTCTGACACATACTTTTCTTGGCTAATGATTTAGAGGATATTACTGATGGTGATATTTTTCTAATTCATGTTTTTTTTCTAAACAATCCAATTTTATTTGAGAAGTAAAAATTAAGAATGATGGCTTAAAATTTAAAAATAAAAGTTCCTTTTTAAAAAAAGAGATAGCTTGGATAACACCCAAAAGTCAATAAAATAAATATATATATATATTAAAATAAAATACAATTTATTTTACAAAATTAGATTGTGAACTATGTCAGACAGAATACCTGCGGCAGACAAGAAAAACGTATCTTCAGAAGCAAGAAATGAAACTTATCCAATTCAGGTAATAGTAATCACAGTTTTATAGTTGTATGGATAGTTTGGGAATTAATAAAAAATAAGAAATGTCTTTCCTCTACATAGGGTTGAATGGTCAAACTTTAAGGTAAGTATTGTCATGTTTTCTTTCTTCATGATATAGTTATGACAAGTAAAGTTAGAGAAATGAAATAACACTGAATCTAGATGTATAATTTCTGTTAAGCCAAATAAGTGAAACTTCTAGTGAAGGAGACCAAACATTATTTTTGAGAATTTGTGTGATTTAAATAGAGGACAGTTCACATGCAACTTTATTGCTTAAAGAGCACCTATTTACAGTGGTGGGATTCAGCCAATTCGCAACTCTTCGGGAAAACCAGTTGTTAACTTTCTGAGCAATTTGGTGAACTGGTTGTTGGAAGAAATCATTAGGGCAGAGAACTGGTTGTTAAATTATTTGAATCCTACCACTGCCTATTTAGGGGCAATACACTGCATTGGGTTTTTTAATGTCAATAACAGTGCTTGTCCCAATGTTCAAAGACCTCAATGTTTGTTTTTCTTTGAACCAAAAGGCTTATGATTTTTATTTATGTACAAATAATCACATTGAGATGAGGGACAGTTTAAAAGTTCCAACAAATAACCAAGTCCTTTCTTCCTTTAATTACGAGATTTATCTCAATCTATGGGGACTCTGGGAAAGTTATTTTTTAAAAGGTAGAATAATAATAAATATTAAATCACAATGGAAACCAGAATAAATTACAGATTCTTTAGGAATAGGAATATAGGAATATTCTTTATTGGCCAATGTAATTGGACACAAAAGGAATTTGTCTCCTGTGCTAAATACTCAGCATACACACAAACAATAAAGTGCTAAGTCACAAATCATAAGATGCTATCATAAATTATAAGATACAAATAACAAGTGATAAATCATAAGATACCAAGTAGCAGGAAAGAGCAGATGATGAGAATGATAAAGATGAGATAATGAGAATGATAATAGCAATACAGCCATACTATGTGGGTAAATATCTTTAGTCATAAGACAGTTCTTTGGGAATTAAATGCTTAGCAGAGTGATAAGGGGGGGGGGAATGTTTTTATGACTAGTTGATTTGGCACGCAGTGCCCTGTAGTGACATTCTGAGGGGGAAAGTTGAAACAGTTTATATCCAGGATATTAGGAGTCTGCAGATATTTTTTCAGCCCTCTTTCTGGCTCATATAGTATACAGGTCCTCAATGGAAGGCAATTGTTTTTTCTGCAATCCTAACTATTTATTAAAGTTTTAGAAGTACAAATGATTGACTTAATCATTTCTCTGTAGAATTGTATCAGTAGCTTAACTGTATTAAACAGATTTTTTAAATATCTATTATTTAGATTGATTAGTGTAAGTGCCAATAGTTCTATAACTAATCCCCAAAAGCTAGGTTTTTGCCAGATTGCAAAAGACCATAAAGTGGGACCCATCCTTGTCTCAAAGCTAGCTATTCCACAGAAGGGATATTCCCATGGAGAATACCTGCATGGAGCTTCCTTTGACTGCCTCTCCTAGTAAGTTCTATGGAATCAGTAGGCTTCTAAACTGACAGCCATTGCATCTTGCTTGCTAATCCTTTTCTTCCCCATCCAGGCCTGACAACCGGCAGGCTACAAGTCAGAATTCCTGTTGCATTCCCCACTGATCATAGGGTGAAAAAGTACCGCTAACTATTATCATTTTGTGGGTGATAGTTTATTCTAAACTAACCAATTCTGTAACAAAATCATATAAATATTAAATAGATATTATTTGATTTTTTTTTACTGTATGCCATTTAGAATCACATTGTTTGAACTGGTGGCCTATAATTCCATTAAATAAACATATAAAAACCAACAGAAAAACCTTCCAGCAATGCCTCTATAAAAGATGTTTGTGACATTTTGCAACCAACAACTGAGAATATTGTAGCAGTTTTTCTATGGAATTTAATTTTGTGGAGAATGTTTCTACATTTCATTTCAGGAAGCTGGTGTTTTGGATTCAAGTGGAGAGCAAGGACAGACAAAGGCCAAGATTCAAGAGAAACTGAAGAAACTGTGTGCTTGTCCTCCTCAAGGTGTCCTTGCCAGAGTAATAACAAAGGGTATGTAAAACACAAGTCAAAGGCAAAAATAGTTCACCCCCTCATTAGTTTCCATTAGTTGCATTAATTTTAGAGCTTTCTTTTTACTTACAGTAAAAGTTCTTAAAAATAGACTTTATAGTTTAAAATTTTCATCTTATTTTTCAGTAGGGAATATGATTTCCATGTTTGTTTTTAGGAAATTGAATAAAATAATAAAAAATAATTTGAATTATTTTGCTCTGACGCCGATTAATCCTATAATACTTAAGGTTTTATATAGGCTAATGAAGGGATAATTGGCTGATGGAACCTTCTGAAAAATTACTCTGGAAAAATGTAAGAGAAATCCCAAATTCACTCTAGGAGAAACAGATGATAGAGGCGAATGGGATTTGTTAGGACTGAATTAGTGGGGGGAAAGATGAAATCAAGTGTCTCTCACTGGTTCAAAATTCTATCTAGTTTTGGCTTCGCATGAACTGTGCTCTTGTGAGCTGAACATCATGGCTTAATAACATTATTGCATAATAACAAAATAAGAATCAGCATAGTATGATGTGTGAATCTGTATTGTGTGAGTCTTCAGACTATATATTGAAATGGTCAACACAGATTTATGTGTCTTACTTAAATACATTAACTATTAGCACAGAAAAAAGAAATCTAATTACCCTAAAGCACGGGTCCCCAACTTCTGAGCTGCAACCCACTAGTGGGCAGTGAATTGCTTGCACTTGGGCTACAGAAATGTTGGCTGAGTGCACACACAGTCATGTGCCACTACCATGTGCATGAGCAGTGGGTGCACCAGCATGCCACTTGCACAAATAGAGCTATGCAGGCACGTATATGTGTGCTTGCTAGTCATGACATCATGATGCAAACTGTCCAATTGATTTATGTACATTCAACTCTAGAATGCAATAATGAAAGGACTAAATTTGTTGTGTGAGGTTGTGCCTTACATTTTGTCATTTTGTCATTATCACAATTTCTACTGACACCTAGTGTACTGACCACCTAGTCGTAACTGAATTATCTGAATCTGGGAAAGGTGAAAGTCAAATTATTGCATAGTTCAAGTGATAACATTACCGCCCAAGAGGTGGATAGATTCCTGCTATAGTCCTGCTACAGTCCTTTCCTTTTGTAATAATTTTAAAAGCAAGTCAGGGATATGCAACATTTTAAACTTCAGAATAATGTTATGAATAAATAATGTTTATGATATTACAATTAGTGTTTTAATATATGTTGATAATAAATCCATTTGATATATACATTTTAGTGACAGAATGGAATAAGGAATAGGAGATTCATGCTTGGTTAAACAAAGGAAAGTGCCTTAACATCTATCAAAAAATTCAATAGGTTTTTGTTGAATAAGGTGATTACACCTTATTCAACAAAATGTTTCAGCCACACTGGACTTCATTATACTCGTACAGAAAAGGAATCAGTATATCATTTTGTTCAAAGTGTAATGATTCATACAAGTTTTTTAAATCTTCTAAAATTGTAACATTCTGGGGAAAAGCCACTATATACCATATGTTAATTTTACTTTGAGGTACAGTTTAATTTAATTTGTTCATATTCATATTCTGAATTACAAAACTACTATACAGAAATTGGCAACTGGACAACAGAAATGAATTCCCTGGATATTTCATATTTTCTAAGAGATTAATATTTGTGTAAGCCACTCAGAATCATTTAGATAGTGAGACAGGTGGTGCATAAATTTGATCAATCAAAAAATAAGTTCAAGATTCAAAAGAAAAAATTATAAACTCTATTCTGTGAAATAAAGTTCTGACGTTACATATGTCTTCTTCACATTTCTTCCAATATTGTAAGAAAATATGGCAATTCTTTGCTGAAACCCTACTGTAAAGCACTATCTCTACATGGAGATATGCATGAATTGCCCTTACATTTTTTTAAATTTGAATTTATTTTTCATTCCCCCCCGCCATTTCTACTTTTCAAATAAATACTCCCTTCCCCCCAGAGGAAATAAACAATAACATTTGAAAAAAATTAAGTGACGGTAAGACAGAACATGTATAACAATATTAAAAAATAGTATCACAAATAGGGAAAAGTACAAGAATAAATTTTGCTTCCATATCCTGCAGATTATTTTTCTCTTTTCTGAATATCTGAATAAGGCTCAAACTTAACATTTATTTATTTCCTTCCTTCCCACCCCACTTTTATTTCCTAGTGGCAACAGGAGCCCTGATCTGGGGCCTAATTTGGAGTCTTACAGGCAAAGAGAGTCTGCCTGGTGGGAGCATCTTCGGAATTGTATGCCTCTATTTTTGTTCAGTAATTGGTGGCAAAATTGTGCAGCTAATTAAAATACCAGGATTGCCTCCTCTCCCTCCTTTTCTTGGTAAGTATCATGTCAACAAATAGTGTGCTAATTTCATTTTCATTAGGTAGGCTGGGTTCTTCCAGACTAGTATTTCAAATGATTAAACATTACTTTCAATTTATAAAGAAGTGTTAACCATTGTTATGAAAGCTTCCTCCGTGGATCATTCATGTACTCAATCTATCAGAAGGCTGCCTGTGAGGGCAATAGATGTTGAGAATTATGGATCGATTCTGCTTTTTGCAGTTGGTTCTGGGTTGTAATGAGTAGACTGTCAAATAAGCCTGGCCTATGGAATTGCCATCTTAGGCCCTCAAAGCCAACTCTTGTGACCAACTGCAGAAAGGGGAACAAGAGCAGGGGTTTCTAACCAGTGGTGGGTTGCAGGCAGTACGCCCCGGTATGGGCATACCGGAGTCTGCCCGGAACACTGGATACCGTTCCGGTACAGTGCTCCAGAGGGCCCACCCGCTTGCCCGAACTCCTACCGGTCTTTTAAGTCTTCTGCACTTCCGTGCACGGTGTGTACAGCACCTGCGCGATGCTCTGCTGAGCAGCTACAGCATCGCGGCGGCGCTAAGACGCATGCGCGTGCTGCACATATGTGTGTGCGTGCCACGTGCGCCCATGTGGACACCGCTGGGCCCAAACGGGATCCAGAACCCACCACTGTTTCTAACACAGTGGTATGAAGTTGCTTATCAAGCTCAGTATTATTAAGTTGACCTTTGCTTCTCTACTTTATTGTATCATGTTGACATATGAGAGGGTACAACTTCAGCTTTAGAATGGGATCCCCAAAGGGAAACAGGTCTAGTTTTATTCTTGAACCTGGAATCTTGATTCTTTTTCTTGGTTTGTTGCATTAATTTTTCCTGCAATATTCTCCGTCTGTTCCTCTCCTTCCCTCCCTCCCCATTAAACTTTTGTGAAAGATATTTATTTGTATAAACAAAGAAAATGAAGCATCATTGTCAGATTTTATGTGGGTCTCTAAAAGAGTTAACCAGGTGGTTATCACTGTTCCATTTAGGTATGTTGATTGCTGGATTTCTCATCAGAAATATTGAATACGTCAGTAAGGTGATCGTGATCAAAGTACAGTGGGGAGTTATATTCAGAAATGTTGCCCTCTCGATTATTTTGTGTCTAGCTGGTCTTGGCCTTGACGCAAAGGTGGAGTATTAAAGGCTTCTTAAGAAATTCAAAAGTCTCTGTTACAAATAGCAAAACACTGTGAAAACCTGTAACATGTAGTACATAGCTCAATTTTTTACTTTGAGTCATAAAGGACACAGATGTGGGGAGAAATGGAACAGAATATGAAGAAAGAGGAAGATTCGTATTTCCTAGTGTGATTAGCATTAATTATCTTTGGAATGGTTCTCAGTGTCACCTAGGAGGAATTTCTTTCCTACCTGCTATGCCTGTGAACGAAGAGAAAATGTTAGATCAGATCATACTGTGCGGAGGAGGGATATGTTCCCATCATGCTTATAAAAACTTAAAATAAAAACTGACATAGCTAGATTGGGTATAAGTGTGTAGAGTGTATACGTTTGCATACCTAAACACAAACATTTAGAAACAGTCCTTAGGGCTTATTTAAGTGTTATCATCAATTGATTAATTTCCCTTCCCAATCACCTCATTTTTTTTAAAAAAAGAGAGAAAGTGCTTTCATTAATACTATTGCACCTTTTCCCTACTTTTAATAGGCATGACTGGAAGCCTTTGAAAGGGCCTTGAAAGCATGGAGAATAAAGACAGATTGCTTCCCTGTTGAAATAATCCTGAAAATGATTTATAGCCTAGTGCAAGGGGGTTACTTTAGAAATTGTGGATTTAGTGCAGAAAACATGCTTTATCGCAAGAGTAAATTCAGTCAATGTATTAACAAATCTTGAAATATTTTTTTCCTAGCCCCAAAGATGAGTAATATTAATTGTAGAATATTTTTGTATTTCAGGCTCTGAACAAGTTAAAAACTGTCTGTTTCAGACTATGCATGGGACCTTGCATCACTGAAGCATGTTCAGCAGCAGTTATATCTCACTTTCTAATGAAATTCCCCTGGGTATGGGGGTTTATGTTAGGGTAAGAGGTGACCTTGCTTCTTTTTGTGCCAAATATTTTTCCCCTTTTTACTATACATACTTCTTCTTATCTTCCATTCATAAATACAGTTGATGTAAACCAGAACCCAGTACTCACCATTTCCTTGTTAACACACCCAAAACCACTTTAATGTTGGGACGAAACAGGCAAAAGATGTTCTCTTGCTTGCACTGTTGCATCTGGAAACTTTAGATCTTTTACAGTTTTAAGACCCCATTTCCCCCACTCTGCCTCCCATCCAGTCATATTGGGCTACAACTCCTTTAATCCTCACCAAATAGAAGTTGGGAAAGGCCTATCATAATCATTGGGCATCATAACAATGCTTGGAATGTTCAGAGCAGGGGTGGGATTCTACCAGTTTGGACTAGTTCCGGCGAGCCAGTAGCTCTGACGATCAGCTGTGAGCGAACCGGTTTGCTCCAACGATCAAGTGGGCCTGCCCGCCCCTGCACTTTACTGACCTTTATCTTCTCAGTTGTGTCACGCAGCGAACCGGATTGCTGCTCCTCAGCTATTTTCCTCCTCAACAGAAATGTGGAAGATAATTTTTCTCTAAACTGCGCACACACATGCAGCAAAGCACATGATCACTGAAGCCATTGTTAAACCAGTAGGATCCCACCACTGGTTCAGTATTTAGTGAATAGTGCAGTCGTGATAGGAAACCATATCCACCACATTTTTGTTTATTGCGTGTTTGTTTTCTAACATTCTAAACTGTTGAGTGAAAGAGACTGATCTTTCTACTAATACACTATTTAACCATCTACATTCTGCTGTCTCCCACAAACCTTGACATATTTAACAATGGCTGAATATTATTTCTTGAATTGATGAGCGCCAATAGTGTGTACATTTTTCAGTTTTGTTCTAGGTGCTGTATCTCCAGCTGTTGTAGTCCTTTCGATGCTGATGTTACAGAGACAAGGTCTTGGTGTAGATCAAGGAATTCCAACGTTACTAATCGCTGCTGCCAGTATGGATGACATTGTAGCCATCACAGGCTTTAACATTTTCTTAGGCATGGCTTTTTCCTCAGGTAATATCCCTATGCTCTAGAACTGATGAAACAGGACATGTCCCACTGAAAGATGGGAGGTGAATTTTTAAAAGCCAACATTGGCAGTAAGGTTTATTTGTAGCATCCTTATTTCTTAGGGGAAGGCAAAACAATCATAACTGAATAAAATAAATCAGTAGAATATTAAAATCCTAAGACAGATACTACTTTTTTTAATATTGTGGTGATATTTAGATGTAACATATGCCAAATCAGAAATGCAAATAATCATGCACACATAATTCAGTGATGTTTACAAGTCCTTACAACTCCTTTTTGCAGTCTCTGGAACCCCCAAATTTTCATGATGTAATTTTTCAGGATTGGTTTATAAAAATTAGAAAATAAAATGGTCTCTTGTGTACAGTACTTAACTGACATCTTTTTTTTTACACACAAACAAAATGGCTGATCTCTATTATGATAGATTCAGGAATTTATAGTCTGTCCCAAAATGTAGATGCAAATATGAACTTTTGCAGCTTGATTTCATTGGTTTTCTGCTTTCTGTTTATCCGCTCTTATTTGTTTTTGTTGAGTGACTGTAAATAGATGGGTCATAATGCTCAGAAGCTGGCTCTTGCAAAACTCAGCAGCCCCACCATGATAAAATGGGAGAGTCTTCCTCAAAATCTAACAGAATGTCTCCTGCTTTGCTGTGCATTTGAACAATTGTTTAGCCAGCTCATGTTGACAGTGTTTTTAATTGTCATTCAGATTTTCAATTCTGAAAGCTCAATAAACCCACATTCACAAGAAAACTATAGAATATGATCAACAGCTGGGGACTAACTATGTAATAAAGCAGAGGAATGCCCTGCAGAGCTGAAGGGATTTCCCCATACTACAGCACTGGCAGTTCTGCCCAGTTGTTTCCCCCCCGGGGGGGGGGGGTATAAAAACACCAATAATAGCAGAGAAAAGTATCCAAGAACCAAGAAACTGGTCCATGGCTGTACAACTGGCCAGGTTGTCCTTCCCAAATGGGGTGAGGATGAGAAGGTGACAATCTAATGGAAATGTGTTACAATCCAAAAGATTGCCAGAGCATATTCAATATCATGATTAGAAATCAGTGGGGAAATATTTTTAATGACAAAATATCTCTTAAGCCACATTATTATTGGATTTGAAAAAACACAAAACAGCATTTCTTCAAGTCTGAACTTCAAAACTTTTCTTCAAATCTTTTGAGCCCTTTGATGCTGATTGTTTTACTTGTCATGCATCTGGTTTTCAGATGCTGATTAGAGGCAATGCTGCCATATCTTATGGGGTTGTAATTTGATTACTTGATTATTTAATTATTTTTACTATGTATATAGTCACCCATTTCAGTTGCATGACACAACCTTTGGTGGTCAATATTTTTCCTATTTTTTTTTCAGAAATTGTTTACTTATATTTTAAAAATCACTTTAAAATTACATTAAAATATCTCCTTGACTTTTTTCCCATTTCTTTTTCATAGGGTCCACCCTTCATAGCATCTTGCATAGTGTGGTGGAAGTTGTTATTGGTGCAGGTGCTGGTTGCCTTTTAGGATTTTTTATTACATATTTTCCAAACAAGGATGAGGTAAAAACAATACTGTTGGGAAAATAATCTGTGACAAAGCCCACATTTTTGTAGGCTGCATTTACAGTAAAAGCATCTGATAAACTGAGCACATTCTGAGAAACTGGAACAGAAGAAATTCAGTTATTCCTTCCGAAATGTGTTGTAATCAAATGCAGAATTGGTGAAAAGTAAACAAAAAGTTCCCATTCAAGCGAGGATTGGAAAGTAGATTTAGCACCGAGTTAAACTATTATCCCAGTTAGGTAAAGGTAAAGGTTCCCCCCGCACATATGTGTTAGTCGTTCCCAACTCCAGGAGACAGTGCTCATGTCCGTTTCAAAGCCGAAGAGCCAGCGCTGTCTGAAGACATATCAGTGATCATGTGGCGGACATGACTCAACGCCAAAGGTACATGGAATGCTGTTATCTTCCCACCAAAGTGCTCCCTATTTTTCTTTATATTTTTTTTTAACTTTAAATGTTTTATTCATTTTCATTTTCAATTTTGTACATTCACTTATATACTGGATATTTACAATAATAATAATAAGAAAAGAAAAACCCCAACCTAAAC